GCAACAAAAGTATCATATTCGGAGTCAGCGTCCAAAACCGAGTGAAATGGCATATGTTTTGAAAGTTTCCGTTGATTTTCACTTTATGGTGAAAATCGCAGTAATTTTTCAATCTGAAAATTCAAAAAAAACAATAGTGGTCGGATAGGATAAAACGGTACATCGTTCAACTCGGTTTTGGACGCTGACTCCGAATATGATACTTTTGTTGCATAAAAGTTGAGTTCCGGTGGAGAAAATTGAGAATTACAGGCAGTAAGGGGACTCCTTCTATATCCTGATCGGGATGTATATCCCGATGGGGATATAGAAAATAATTAATATCCTGATCGGGATATAAAATAAAAAATTTCGTCGTAAAAACGATTACGGGAAAAATGGCGAAGTTTTAGGAAAAAATTGACTTCACCATTAGAAAAAGCTGGAAAAATTACATAGGATTCTATTGTGTTTGATCAAAAGTGCATCAAGCACCCAGCAACTATTTTTTCGAACAAAAAGCTTTAACAAATTTTAGTCGAATTTATATCTCGACCGGGAAATAGGCGGTTAATATTTTATTGCTCATAATGGGATATACTCTTGATCTAAGCGCTGTCCACATCTACCCTATATCAGTCGTGAAGCCAGCGTTTCTGAAAATGTCAACAGAACATAATCATTCCAGGCCATGCGGTATTTATACTCATATTACCTGGCACAGCAACATCCCTTTCAAACTAATTAGATTTGATAAGAAACATGTTAATATGGAAGTAAGAAATTACGTTAACCGATAAAAACGTCTTAACCGTATTTGTTCGTTTTATGTTACCTGTGTATAAATCAAATAGACATAATCAGTAAATAGATCTAATCAATGAATTATCATCATCATCACCTTCACGTGTAAATTCCTCACTACGGTAGTCAAGAATTTACAAGCAGTAAATATAATAATATACTATACCATATATGTCGTTTTGGTCAAAAGGAATATTCATCTGTTCATATAATCGGTTTAATAGTTATATGGAATTTTAAAACTGTAACATAAAAATTTGCTCAAAGAAAAGGAAAGGGTAGACCAAAAACAGTAAAAACGACTTTAACAAATGATTAAAAAAAAATTATTATTATTATTATTTTGTACTCATTCAATTGCATGATTTATTTTTGTTTTGAAGTTATTATGATTCGTAAAAAATTGTTATCGAAAAAAAATTATTATTCGTGATTATTTATGATCACGATTATATATACGCGCTTCTCAGAATGAATTCAAAAGAATGCGCTTAAATTGATTAATTTTTTATTTTTTTAACAAAACTAAACTACCGGGCTCATTTCTCTCTTTTAAGAAGATAAAATTTTTATTTTTGAACTCGGCTCATTTTCATTTTTTTTGATTAAATTAAAGCAACCGGGATCAATTCTCTCTTTTTTCCGAGCTCAAAACTTCTTTTATCCCGTTTCGCTTTCCTTTTCCTCTAATAATCTAATAAAAAAAAACTTCTTTTTCGTGACTGATCTAGTCGCTCATTAATAATGTAATACATAAAATAGACTCCAAAGCAAAAACAGGCTGAATACAAATAATACAAACTTTCTTCTTTCGAAAGATTGCAATACCAGTAGTTTCATGATATATGAAAATATTTTAGGCGAACAGTTTAGTTGGAAAAAAAGTTTTAGGAAGATCTGATCGCGGGAAAAGACATTCGGTTGCAGTTTTCGGAGCTTTTAAGGAAATCGATTTTGAGAAAAGTTTTGGGATATAACAGTACTATTAGAAAACTTGTTTTCAAGCGATGTTCATCATTGTTTGTTAGTGTTTAGTACCCGACGTAAACTTTATTGCAACCTCATGAAATAGGTTTTTCATAGTTAGTGAATGAGAGTTAGGTAATAGCTAGTGGCTTCAATCTTAGTTATGTGGGTGTGCGTCTACTCATATGCTGAGCACTCCATTAGTATTAGTCTGTTTTATATATGGCTCATAACGTACAATTTATTTTTCTCGCGAATTCTAGCCTTGTCTCTCGTCTACGTATGATATAGATATTGTTTGGTTTTATATTAGGCAACAAACGATTTTCCATTTAAAAAATGGAACATCCCTCCATCGCACAGTAATAATAATAAAATAGTTGTTATGAAGAGTGAAAAATTGCTTCGTCATATAGAACGAACTTGTCTCGTTTACATAAAAGAGAAGAAAGAAAAAAGAAATATTCAACGTAAGCATGACAAAGCAAAAAATATATATAAATAAAGCCGCAAATTTCTAATGTTCAACACACGTAAAATAATAAATCTTCACAAAATAGTCAAGAAAAATTATGCCAAATTATAAACTTTATTATTTCGATGGACGTGGTCGTGGTGAATTTTCACGACTAATCTTTGCTGCCGCTGATCAACAATTTGAGGATGTTCGTTATCCACAGACCGAGTGGCCAAGTCATAAACAAGAAATGCCATTAGGACAAATGCCAGTTTTGGAAGTTGACGGGATCAAAATTCCACAATCCTTCACGATAGCACGTTTTCTTGCCAAGCAATTTAATCTAGCTGGTAAAGATAATTTGGAACAGGCAAAAGCCGACGCTACTGTTGATACTATCGCAGATTTAATGGCAAAATTGTCGCCGTTGATGTATGACAAAGATGAAGTAAGAAAACAACAAGGTATAAAAAAGTTTCAAGAAGAAGAGTTACCAAAACATTTACAAAATTTGGAAAAATTAGCGAAATTATATGGAAATGGAGCGTTCTTCGTCGGAGGCTCACTAACGTGGGCTGATCTAGTGTTTTATGAAATTAGCAACAGTTTGTTAAAACTTGATCCAAATGTTTTAAAAGATTATCAACAATTGTTAAAAACTCGTCAAGAAGTCGAAAAACATCCGAAAGTGTCAGCATATTTAAAATCTCGTCCAGAGTCACAGTTTTAAATTAAAAACTTTATGAACAACGAATAAAATATTCGAAACACTTATTGTAATATTAATCTGATTTACTGTAGTTCTATTTCTTGTCATTTTACGGAATTGTATTTTGAATAGGAGAATTGAGAATAGAAGATGTAGTTCTAACCAGAAGTTTGTTGATTTTTTCAATTCAAAGAGTTCCTCATCAATCTGCTGTAAACGTGTTAGTACGGTCGAGAGATAAAAGTGAATTAAAACCTTTTCGTGCATGTTCTGAAAAATTTAGAAATATTTTCTTTCCATGAGTTGTAATACAACGGTGTTGAACAATGGTCCGCTGAACTTCAACAAATAAAAGAATTAAGATGTTTTCGAACAGCAATGAAAAATTTCTTCGTCGCATTCTACAAATCGCTAATATTTAGAGACACAGAACGGAAGTACGTAATTGTGCTTAATCAAATGAGAGTTAGTTTTGCTGTACTCAATTTTGACTTGGTCCAAAAACATTTATATGATACTCAGTTTTGTGCCTGGGGCAAAATAGAGACAGTCGAGGCTTTTCTATTGGAGTACCCGCTTTACCAGCTACACGAGATAACTTTATCAAAGACTAGTTTGTGCTAACTCCTAATGTCTCCTTCACGTTTAAGAATGTGCTTTTTCTTCAAAAAATGGAAAATATCTTTGTCACATTTGTCCATTATGCACCTCTGTCACTACATACACAAGACATACCTAACGTTTTTAACTCCCATCTTTGCTCTTTTTCTCTGTATCAATGTTACAGTTGCTTATAAGAAACGTTGTCGTTACAATTGTATTCATTTTTATTTAGGTGAATTTCACCTTTCGAATCAAACGATTCGTCATCAGAACTAAACTGTGATGCCATACATTATGTATAGAATATATATTAAAATACATAATAGACCTGTAGCGTTTACTGCTATTTATTATGTGACATACATAATTCTGCACACGAGATATGTCTGCCCATGCAAGAAAATAGAAAGAACATTTTTTTTTGTTCCTCTCTACTTTTATTCATGTCTCCAATGAATCATCATTTCAAATGAAAGTGAAAATAAAACTTCTTTCCATACATTGATTACTTTTGAGGCTCTCCCCCCGTCAGAAACCTATCTCCGAAACTATAAGTCCGATCTTGACCAAACTTGTACGAGATGCTGATCTTGTGAAAATATGGCGACGAAATTTTTCGTTTGACTCTATCCTGCATGGTTTGTGAGATGTCGCCACAAAATTTATCAAAATGGGGCTGTTCGTAGCTTCAAGATTTCTTAGTAATGAAACGTTGCGGAGAGTTCGGGTCGATCTTAAATTGACGAAAACACAGGTGGCTACTCTCTAAAAAGAAAAGGTACTCTACCGCCCAGGTGAAACACGTCTTGACTCTATCTGACACACAGGAACACTCTCCTCTACTGTTCAAGAATTTTTCTTCTTCTGTCTTTTTTATTTTTTTTTCTTACCTTTTTTTAAATTTTACTTTTTGACAGCATGTAATGGGAGAAAGCCCGATTTGCTGTATTTTTTTTGAATAAAAATTCAACTGCTTAAAAAAAAAAACACGTCTTGTAAGACCTTGCAAGATCTGATATTTTCTTGTGAAATCTTGTAATAAGGTCTTACGATTAGGGCCCTGCGGTGACACCGAACTCCGACGGAGTTGGAGGCGGTGCCGGAGGTGACGATCGCAAAATTTTCGAAGTCGGTATCGGAGTCGGAGACCGTCGAATTGAAGTTTTCGGAGTCGGAGTCGGAGCTTATGGAGAAGAATTTTTCGGAGTTTAAACCGGAGTTAACACCACCAAGAAATCCCTAAATATTTTCAATTTTATCACCTGAGTCATTTTAGATTCCGAACCTTACACATTAAAACAGAAAAAGTCCAGAAGATGTCTTAGACAGGTCTCCAGCGAGCGTCGACCGAAGGGAGGTGTGAGCATTGTTTTGAATTCAGAAATATGTTTAGACCTCTACAGATTTTTGATTTATATATTTATATCAGGTTACCACCTTATACATAAGAAAA